ACCCTAAACCCTAAACCCCTGACAGCCCGTGGGAAGATCCGCCAGCCCGAGGTCCCAGTTCGGGAGCGGGCGGGTGGCGAGCAGCGAGGGCCTCCCGCGACTACGCCGGGGCCCAGGGGGCTTCCAGCGCTTATAATAGACTATAATAAACTATAATGAACTACAATATACTATAATATACGATAATATANNATAATATAATATACTATACTATACTATACTATACTATACTATACTATACTATACTATACTATACTATACTATACTATACTATACTATACTATACTATACTATCATATCATATACTATACTATAATATACTATAATATACTATCTGTTAAGGGTTTCGTGAAGGGTTCAAGGCGTAGGTAGGGCAAGGAGTTAGGTGTCCTTGTATAGAGCACTTCAGTTCCTACGGGCTGCCCAGGTCACCAGGGATGCACGACATGGGTAGGGTCCACTTTGAGTCTAGCTGGAAGAGTTTCGTATGTGCCGAACTTACGTCGAATTATGACCGCCAGTCTGGATCGGCTTCTGGCATTGGCATGGCAGCAAATGCTGCAAAGCGGGAAACGGGCTGGAGTGGTGCGGGCAAGCATGAGGGCACGATGTCGAATCAGTTTCCAAAGGGTCGACGAGTGACATTCCACGGTGCTAGGACCATCAGAAGCCCCTCGTTCCTGAAGACATCCCAAACCCCAAATCCACTGCATCACCCCTATGATACCTTTTTTTGTCGCAGACTTCTAGGTACCCTTTATGGAACCCGCAAAAGGCTTATTATAGGAACCTCTATAGGAACCCCAAAACCCAAGTAGCCCAAGAGAACCCTGGCGCGGAGGATTACGAGGAGGACGAGAAGCCGCTACCGGAGGACTTGGGCGAGATGGCTCCACCGATTCCCAAGGAGGACGACTAAACATCTTCGAGCTCAGGCCAGCCGAAGAGATGTTCAGTGTGACGGTTTTCAGTTTGAGGGTCGAGGGTTTGCAGTTCAAGGAATGTGATCCTCGATTTGTTCGCGTAATCTTAACAACTGGACGAGGCCGCTGCGACTGGAAGGAGATCACCGCCATGCTGCAAAGGCGTGCGAGACGGGCAAGGATGGTTGGGTAGAACCTCCGTAGTGATGTCGTAGGCCCATAATGGCCAGGAACTTACCTTCGGAGCAGGGCGGTGCCTGCCCATGAGATGAAGGCCAGACATGCTCTCGAGCCAGAAGAGACGGCTTGACTGCTGTCGTGGCCAAAATAGTTGGTCGTGGCGTGGAATTCTGAAAAGTGCCGCGGCTGCGAGCTGATATGCTTTGTGCGGACTTGTGCCTCCGATGCACCTGACAATGCCTCAGCAGCCTTTCTGGCAAGCTTGTGAGATTCTGGCAGGCCCCAGTCTAGGCAACAGATCTGGATGTATAGCGATGGCTCAGCTCATGCACCCGTCGTACTCGGGTTGCAAAGAGGCAGTCAGCCGGAAAAAAGACGTCAAAGGCATAACTAGCTAAAGCCGCAAACGAACAACTCTGGCCTGTGCCTTGAGCCCCATGGCCTGAGCCCGAATATATACCCAATCCATACCCGATCCTAGTACCTGGCTCTGCACCCTTCTTCGCGGCGCCTTTCCCAGCAGCTGGGAGCCTTGTCGCGTGTTTCAGCTTGGGGGATTGGTGATTTGTAGTGTGTAGAGCTTCGGGATTGGTGCTTCAGGGCCTTAAGGCTTGGCTTGAGGGCCATGACGCCTTCAGCCAATTCTTGCAGGCTGCTGTCCATGGCGGATGCCGAAGGCGCCGTCTTCGAGCTGGGGACCATAGCTGCCCAGGAACTTTTCCTTCAAGATTTGCCTTGCAAGCACTTGGAGGTGTGCTATTAAAATACTGTGGCAATACTCGTGCCACAGGCAGTAAGAGTGCATAGCATCCAGTTCAAGACTTCCACGAGCAGTAGTTTTTTTGGCAGCGTCTGAGGCCGATCGACTTTGCGGACCTGCACGAGCTGTGTCGCTAGCATGTTGGCTGATCTCACAGCTTCCCAGCCGCGGTGTGAAATGGCTCCTGGCTCCACCAATAAATTTGAGAAGAGGAGGTCCGTTCTCATATTCTGGGGATTTGCTTTGCATTGCTTTTTGTTTGGACCATGGACCAGGCGAAGGTGGTAGCTCAGAAGTGTGCATGTGTATCAGCAATACTGCAGAACGCCTTGCACTGCAGCTTTCCGAGTCACCTCGAGTTCACAAGCAAAGTTGCTTGGACTGGGCCCGTGGTGAAATGGCTGGTCAGGGCCTGGTCGTTGAATGTGTTTAGTTGTATCTACGTCAGGCGGGATAAGGTACCCCTTGTTTTCGGAAACTCCCAGATGTGCCAGGTTGGAAGCCGCCCAGAGCAGCGATGCTCCCAAGGACGGCTGTGCGAAAATTCTGAAGACTTCAATCCTTCAGGGTTGAGTTGGGCTTACGTCTGCGGGGGCTTAGTATCTCTGGGGCATAGAAGAGTTGCATGCACGAGATTTTGCGGCCTCAGGTGCCGCGTTTCTGTCTGGAGTATGCTTTGTCCACTGGCATGAAACTCTTAGTTCCCCAATACCCAACCTTTAAACTTTTTGGGTTCTCATAACTTAGTAGTAATCTGAAAGTTTAACCTTTTATTTCCCTGGCTTATTGGCGAAGTAACAACTAGGACGACCCCGTCGCAGCCGCCCTCGAGCTGGGCGTGCGCGAGACGCCCGTGGCTCAGTTCGGGAGCTGCCTTCTACCTAATGTAGGAACCTCATTAAGAAACCCTGGGCCTTTATTAGGGTTCTTAACTATGAGCCCTAATATATTGGGGTTATAGGGCCAGGGGTTTCTTAATCAGGTTCCTACATTACAAACCACAACGAAAAACGCTAAGCCGCAAGCCGTAAACATCCGTAAACCCTGGCCTCTACACATCCCTAGGCCTTAACCAGGTGTTGATATCCCTCTGGGTTCCAATATGATGCACCCTCCATGCCAGAGCTGGGGTGAGTCAGTTGCGATGTGGCAAAGCAGGCCAGGTTCTCTTCACCTATCCCCAGATCCGATCTGCTTATCCCTCAAAAGCCCTGAAACTTCAAAGCTAGGAGCCCTCAGCATCCCGATCAGAGCCGTGAGGAAGAAGGTAGCTGCCAACATCGACAGCCAGCTGCAACTCCTGGAGGAGGAGAGCGTCGCGCCCCGAGGACTTGGCAGAGTCGAAGCTTTACCTCATTTTCTGAATGCGATTTGGGTTCTCCTTGACCATTGATGCGAGAAGGTCTTTCTTGAGCCTCAGCTGGTTGCAGGATTACCTATTTAGTTGTGGCAGGTTTTCCGTTGTTGCGCG